TGTGTGTTACCTTTATTTATTTATTTTCATGCTTTTCCATAAAATTCTTAAATCATAAAATTCAGCTCAACAGCAATACACAAAATAATTTAAAACCAGCATATCTTTAGAATTTCCGATACACAGTCTCGCGCGCTGGAGATAAAAATATTTTTTTCCGTAGAGTGTTGTTCCATACCTCGCTTTGAAATCATTCAGTTTCTTAATGAAAAACTCATAAATGCTTTATAAAATATGAAATAAATAATACAACAAAGTCCAGATGCCCGTATTCGGGTGAAGACGTACGTTATTGAAATTTCGATGGCTCTAGGTACCGTTGTTTTATCCCAATGCGAGAAACATATACATACATTTATGCAGATTCTTCATTATTTAATTTCTTTAAATATAATGCAGGGCGATAATAGTTAGTGACTACAATTTCAAAAGTGACTCGCCGTTTACACTGAATTGACGCAAAATGCCAAAACGAGATTAATAGCCCTTCTGAGCTAACGCTCCTTTGGGCTAAAAAAGAGAGAGAGAGAGAGCAGCCATATTATACAGTAAATTGAAGCCTACAAAATTTTACTGAGCAAATCATAAGAAACATCAAGTACATTTAAGCAACAAAGAACAACCTCAATGCCTGAAACTGCGTTTTCTGTTTGCAAGTTGAATCATTTGTCTGTCTTTTAACTGCACTAATACTGCCTCACAGTACTGTTGATATGATAGTTAATCCTAAAACCAGAGATTAAAAATGTAAAAATTTTGTAATAGATTTGTGTGCATTTCATTGCAAGCAGTAAATGATATCAATATTTATGCATTAATGGCATGCAAATGTTTTCTTAATTATTAAATAGTTTTAGACTGGGCGGCTTGATGCGACTTTCCGAACTGCCGGAAATTCAGAAGTATTTTTAGTACACTGGAAAATAAAATCGTATACAAATACAATTGCGGAATTATTGTTGTTACCAATCTCACTTGTCTGACAATGGTCAGCAGAAACCCACGAATGCGCCTGTCAGTGACAAAAGCCTTGAGCACCATACAGGAGACAGCCCGATTTTTAGCTCACTTCCGCCTCCTAATTTTGAGATAGAGCACCCCGGGTGGACGGGTCCGAGGGATTTCCACCCCTCTTTTTCTACTCCCAACCTCTTGAGAGGACTTTCGGCTAGCCGCATACTTAGAATATCTCCATGCCGCGGAGACACTATACATTTACAAACATCCATGCCTTCTCTGGGTTTCGAATCCGGGTCCTTCGGTACTGCAGACAGAGTCACTAACCACTATCCCGGTTGGGCAGCTGAATTGCGGATTCAAAAATCTCATTGCTTAGCAGGAGTGTGCGCCCCAATTATTTTTTCACTTACTGTTCCGCTTTTTAACAATTAAAAATAGCAGTAGAAGACCGTTGACAATTGCTAGGATGCTTAATCATCGCAGAAAATATATGCTCTGAAATATAAATATGATTAAGAAAATCATTTTCAATAACATGCATTAAAATGAAACCATTCTATATTTCGCTACTTCCTGAAACACCAAAACAAATACTTATTTGCCGAACTGTTAATAATAGTATCACAAAATACTGTGGAAAACTTTCAAGCAAATTTATACAAAATTGCGCACCATTACATCAAATATCGTTGTTAAATGCGAGCTAGTTTACCCTAGAAAACTATCCACACAGGCATCCCTCTTCTTCAGTTCTGTGATTTGCCATATTCGATAAAATAAACGAAAACAAACAACAGGTATCAGACGCATAAAAATTGTCAACAATATTACTGCTACAAATACCATAAACAATACTCGAAATTAAATCAGTGTCTCGGTAACTTCTTTCAGAATGCCGAGATGCAAATTTTTATCAGATAAGATGCTAACAGCAGCATTATACAAGGTTTCAACTAAATCACTCTAGCAAAATAATCTTAATTACTTTTATTTAAAAATTTACAATCAGATCGAAAGCTATAAATAAAAATTGAACATGAATGTTAAAAAATAAATATTATTTCACCAAAATCGAAAGGTAATGTAGTTGGTAGATATTAACATCATTTAACTTCAGGTGAATGGCTATCTGCAATAAACTTGTTGTTGCTAATGGACAGCGGTAGAAAATATTTCGATGTAATTTATTTTTAAGAATAAAAAATTACTTATCGTTACAAAAGAAACCGCTTAGATTTAGAAATGCCATTAGAGAATAATTTTGATTTTATTTCGTCACGATGTAACACGTCATTATCGTCTGCCCAGACAAAACAACCGTTTTTCTTTTATAGTATTCGTCACAAGTAACTGACCTCATTTCACCCCGACGACTTGTTGGCATAGTGTCAAAGATTTCAAAGTTTATAAATAACAACAGCAAAATTAAGTCAATTGCTGATATGCTAATTGTTATGGTTACAGCAATCGGAAGTTTGCATTACTAGCCAACATTCAAAATAACAGAACAGTCCTTTATAAATAAATAATAACATTCACAAGTATTTTATAATTAATATTTAACAAAATTTTAAATCTCGCGATTAGTCCAATTAAGAACACGTATGTCTAACGCGTTATAAATTATATTCCTCGGTTTTAAATTTTACAATTAAAGTACTTGTAGAATTAAAAAAGATTGCCCAAAAAAGTTCATTTCTTAACACTAGCATTACATATCCAATAATTACTTACTTTATTACAAATCTAGAAAAGTATACGCATAACACATAATCATCTATCGAAATGCAGGCAAATTAAATTTGTACTTCAGAACGTTCTGTTGCTGATATTTGGCGAATAGGAATACAAGACCTTAAATTTTAAGCATTCATAATTTTTTTTAATGGTGTATGTTGAGCTCTAGCCGTTTATAGACATTGGCCACTACTAAGATCGGCAGTGGCGGTTTCTTTGTTACGGAGGCACCTAATGGCTGGTCCAACGTTGCCTTCTATGAAAGGACGGACAAATTACATCCATACCTTCTCCGAGATTCGAACCCGAACGCTTTAGTAATAGCCACTAACCACTTTCCCATCTGGGTAGCCATTCATAAAATGTTACTCTCGATCAAACTTGGAATGCTGCGTTCAAGAATTTCGCATCAGTATTGCCTTTGCATAACCCTCTTGCAAACTCAGAAATTCATTTACAGTAACAGCTTATATTCGTTTATTTATTTTCTAATTGAAGAGCATTAAATATTACAGAATGATCAATTCACGTAAGATTACATGTGAGTTCTTGCAGTTTTAACTTTTGCTTTTTGTATAGTGGAATTTTAATTGAAAATGAATTAACGAAACTTACAATCAAATATTAAAGTCTAGAAGCAAATTGAAACCAATGTCGTTTTATTTAATTTACTTAAATCCAATCAAAACTCTCAATCTGGAACGTCCTGTAGGTCATCTAGGGTTCCAAAGGTTCTCTAGGAGATAGAATATGAAGGTGTGTGTGTGTGTGTGTGATTATGGCAAAGCCTCGAGGGCTATCTGCCTAAGGGGAGGGATGCCTTCGTGGAAGACTTTCTAAGGGAAGCTGGCTCGTATGCACGTTACACATGGAGAAAACCACGAAAACGTCCATGCAGCCAGCCCGTTCGCGGGATTCGAACCTCAGAGCGAACTACCAGTGTTCAGCGACTAGAATATGAAGGAATCGTATCGTTATTGATATCGAAAGACTGAAATCCAATGGATTCAGATCTATAAATAACTTGAGAAATTAAAGGAAACTTAGGAAAGATACACTTATTAATATAATGGAATAGTTATTACCCATATTTAATAAATAATTTAGTAGTAATGATCCCATTATGAACCATTATAAAATATAAACGAAATCAATATTAGCAGAAGACTTCAAATATTAAATCAATATCAAAAGATGAGTAGAGACATTAGTAGCAATTAATTATTTATTATACAATCACAGATTTCTTTTTTCATTTTTATGAATATTTAGGATTATCTTCGAATGGGTTTATTTAATTATCATAATATAAGCAAAAGGAAATGGCTATTCTATGAACATATACATTAGTGGTAATTAATTATTTATTATTATAATCCTAGATTTCTTTTTTCATTTTTATGGGTATTCAGGATCATCTATGGGTGGGCTTATTTAATTATCATAATATAAGCAAAAGGAAATTAGCTATTCTATAATTATAGACATCAGTAGTAATTACTTATTTATTATTACAATCACAGATTTCTTTTTTCATTTTTATGGATAGTTAGGATTATCTATTCGTGTGGGTTTATTTAATTATGGTAGTATAAACAAAAGTAAATGGCTGTTCTATGAATATAGACATTAGTGGTAATTAATTTTTTATTATTACTATCATAGATTTCATTTTCATTTTATGGATATATAGGGTTATCTATGAGTGGGTTTATTTAGTTACCGTAATATAAACAAAAAGAAATGGCTATTCTATAACATCCAAACTCTCTATTTCATGAAAATGAATTATTAATTAACTAATAAAGAAGGAGTTTTTAAACCTTTTTTTAATTTCTTGCTGAAGTGCATGCCTTAAGATTAAGAATAACTGTACTTAATTTAAAAGTTTTACATTAAATTTCACATAATAACTCATTACCCAAGCTAGGCTTTATAAGGATAGCTGTAATACTTCTTAATTTCATGTTATTTAATTTTTTGTCAATTACATTTTTAGTCGTAGCCTCCAATCCAAAAGAGATAAAACATTTTAACATATATCTTGTTTCTCTTGTAACTCCATATGTTTCAGAAAAATAGCCCATCTTTGATCATCCGATTGTTTAAACAGTCCATGAATTTTTTTTCACGATAATCAAAGATAATATGACGATAAAAGCTGGTTTTAAATCACAAAATCTTATTCCATATCTTAACCAATGGAAGACTCAAACAATTTAAGAATGAAATAATTTTACAACATACATTTAATATTCATTCATATGCAAGTTATGTAATCTTAGAACATAAAGAAATCTCACCTTATTTTTTGGTTTTAGGTACTTCCCTTTAAATACTCCAAGGAATGCGGCTTTCATGGCGTTTGCAGACGTTTAACGAGATTTCCAACTCAAATGAAAGTAATAATGGACTCAAGAATGTGTTTATAAATACGAAAGCAGCAAATCATGATTTTCTTTCATTGTTATGTTGCATCAATGTACTGAATTCTTCTCGCTTTCTGAAGATGTCAAGAAATCTGAAGCATGGACCCAAATCTACTAAATTCCCCAGTCTAAAATGGTAACTCTGAAGCAGATGAAGTCACTAGCCAAAAACTCGCTGGAGGAAGAACCATGCCAAGGCCGTAAGTGAAGAACTTTATCAGCATTTTTTATGTTGTCCATGCCCTTAAAATCAGCCGGGGATTTACCTTATTCACAAATTGCACTATCGACAAACAAACACAATCGAATAGCGGGAAAACATGCAGATAATCTGAGCGAGATGTGCTCTGGAGGAAGCTCGGACAAGAAATTGCAGAGGCGTTGTTTTAAAAAGATGTGGGGAGTTGACAACAACCTACGCGAATTTCTGTTCTCTCGCTGTCTAGCTCTGCTTCATCCAAATGAACTAACTGTACGTAATAGCATGCACGTTTTTTTATGGGGATTTTTCTTTTCTCTTCAAAATACTTGTTCTACGAAGAACCTGATTATTCAAGTTTCATCCCCCCTTTCCACTTTTTCTTTCTTTTATTAGATACATTTCGCTTTATAGGTTAGATGTCAAGACGGTGAACGATGATTGTTGAAAACTGAGGGAAAAGTTGGCCACATTTTAATTACGAGGTTAAGTAGTGAGAAAAGCTTATAATCACACTGGGCACGCCTAAGTTTTCGGAACTGAGAAAGTATGTAGGTCTAATGTGCTTCTTTAACACAGATTTTGTATTATATTCATGTATTATATAACACAGATTTGTATTTTATTCATGTGGTCACTTAAAGGTGGTCTGCATGTCCTCATCCTGTGAAGCTAATCAACCAGAGAGCATGAAAAATATTGTTTTTGACAGGTTATATAAATTTAATGGCTTATATTTTGTTAATGAGAGAGCTACATTTTGCTATTAAAATAAATTTCTATTTAAAATAAATTAATTTTTATTACTATTATTCATGGGCAACTTTAAACAAGTAAAATTAATCATATCACCGCTAAACCTAATATTAGCCCAAAATTAATAACATTCGTAACACTTGTATATTTTATTACAGCTTAAAGGGCGTAGTTTATTAATTTATCAATGCAGTTTATTATTACAGCACAAAGTGTATAATTGTGGACTTGCAGACGAAATTATTTACTTCATTTTTTAAACTTTTAAAACACTGAATTTATTCTAACACTTAAAAAAAAGTAAAATAAAATTAAAAAAAAAAAAAAAAAACTTCTGAAAGCTTTTATATTTTTATATGACGCCAAAAGGGGCGTTTTTTTAACGTTTTGTGTGTTACCTTTATTTATTAAATATCATGCTCTTCGCACTTGAACCATAAAATTCAATTCAACATCAATATACAACAAAAGCATAAATAAATAAATAAAAAATAAATAAATAAATAAAAAATAAAAAAGTAAAAATTAAAAATTCGTTAAAATTTTACAAAATGTGAAATAGATAATAAAACAAATTCCAAATTGGGCTTCCAGATGGTCATATTCGAGTGGAGGACTAAGTTATTCAAAATTTGATGGCTCTAGGTACCGTTGTTCTATCACAGTGAGAGAAACATGCATATATTCATGCAGATTCTTCCTTATTTAATTTCTTAATTTAGCATTGATAATATTTGGTGGCAACAATTTGAAAAGTAATTCAGACTTTTATAGTAAACCAATGCAAACTGCCAAAATGAAATTAATAGCCCTTCTGAGATAACGCTCCTTTAGGCTAAAAAGAGAATTTTTTGAAAACTACTTACAGTTGCGGGAAGAAAGGAATGAATTTTGCTTTCCAGAAATACCTTCTTAATCATTCAAGAATCTTACTAATTAAAAAAACTAATAAATAAATTGATAAATAAATAAATAAAAATAAATTAAAAAAAATTTTGCATAAGAAACTGCAAAAGCAACAGTATCATTCAAAATAAATAAATAAATAATTTATAAATAAAAAATTTAATTTAAATTTAAAAAATTAAATTCGAAAATTGCTCTTAAGTGGAGAGATGAATTTTGCTTTCCAGAAATATTTTCTTAATGGCTCAACAATCTTATTAATTAAAAAAAAAAAAAAAACCCTCTAAATAAATAAACTGCAAAAGTGAAAGCAACAGCAGCATTTGAGAGGATTAAAAGAAAATACGGAGAACAGGAAAGATTCGAGAAAAATGCTGATACTCTCTCTGTAATTCAAATGAGTTTTCCTCGTCCACCGTGATAGGCAAGTAGGTCCTTTCTAATTTCTGTTTGGTGAATTGATTTAATAATTCTTAACTTTGATTTGACCTTGATCTCTCCTGATACGCCCTTTACAGCAATTAAACCTCTAATGGGATCCATCCGGTGCGCCGGGTTCAGTGGAACAGGTTCCAAAATCATATTTAATTCGGCGAAACCGCTAGTTAAAAATAAATCATAATATTTTTTTGCAATTTATTGATATTTATTAACTAATTTTGTAGTTTCTTTAGGCAGCGAACCAGTTTTTAAAATTTTGAGTTCCACTAATGGATTTTGAATGCAACCTCATTAATATAAGCGAATAGCAGGAACCAAAAACCTTCACTAGAGGAATTAAACTATTAAAGGATGAATACCTTTTGTTTGAAAGTTGATTCTAGAAAGTATTTAGTTTTTACATGAAAACAGTAGTACACTTTGAGTAATTTTACACGCTTAGGAATACACTGCAAGCTTCTTACATTCATGATAATTTAGTCGTAGTTAACATGAAATCAGGGTTCATAGCCACATTTTAGTTAAAAAAAATAAGCACCTATAAGCACTTTTCAAGCACATTTTAAGAAAAAAATAAGCACCTGTCTAATTACATCATACACAACTGCATAACCTTAAAAATTAGACTTGTAATTTAAAATATGAGAAATGAAGTACTTATTAAGAGAGAATAAGCATTACCTCAACCATGGAAAGAAATTATTTTTTTGTTTTGTTTTTAATTTTAAATAATAGTTTAATTTACAGAACTAGTTTACAATGAGAGGGGGAAAAAAACTATGAAGAACTAAACTATATTGCAAGATTTAATGATGAAATTTCAGTTCAAAATAGAGAAAATAAATAATAATAAGGTATATTTATTGTATTCGCTTGGAACCTAATAATAAATACAATTTATTTTTCCACTCATATTGATATTTAAATAATTTAAATCTAAATTTTAAACATTTTCTATGTATATCAGTTTTCTCTTAACAGATATTGCAAGCAAAGTAATTTAAGTAAAAAAGAGGAACATTTCTGAAACCAGAAGACAGAAATTTGCTTCATGCAGTCATCCTTTAACAGTAAAAGCTTAACTAACACCCGCATACTTGAAAAGTGGCGAATATTCAGACAGTCGAGCGTAACTTGAAAAAAAGGAGCGGCGGGGGGGGGGGATAGACTGTAGCGGTTCTTTAGATTTTTCCGCTAAATAATAGCTTTTGACATTTCAATATGTGCATCATATAAAATAAACCAACGGAACTAAAAAATATTCTGCTTAGCAAGCACAGTAAAACTCTTTTAAGTGTTCATAAACAAATCTCGGACTGAACATCAAAATTAATTATCTCTGCAAAATATCTCAAACGTTATTGCGCAATACGTGCGCCGTAATTCTTCCCTACGTGATATTACGCAATCGGAATTAACAACTACCGTATTGGGAGAATAAAGAACTAAATAACTGGGGTGTTTTTCATTCTAATTTTCAACAGCGTTAAATTTCCGGAATAGAATCATTCTCGCTTGGGTTGGTAGACCGCCTTTAGTCCTATCAATCCAGATTGGAAAGTGACCAAAATAAATAAATAAAAAAAAAAAATTAGCGAACTGTAACATTATGTTGCATAATCGAGAAAATATTGTTAAGAATTTTATTATTACTATTTTTATTATTATTGTCTATTTTTCAAAAGTGTGTTTTTGTTTTATTATTGTGTGAAGTTGTAACTATATGTCTTTTCTTGTGTGGCAACAACGCTTCTGTAATTCTTCAATTTGAACTTTTGGATGTGTGCCAAGTTTGATGGCGTAATGCTCTGGTGAGAAGCGTCGATTGATTGTGTAGATGAAACATGTTGTTTCAGAACGTTATTTCTTTAAAATATGTAAAATAAATGTTTTGTTTTCTGAACTCGGATTATGCAAACGTTATTTAGTTTCAACATAAAAGTTTGGCGTCCGTTTGACAGGACGTTTGTGTGATTTCGAGTAGTTTTGATTTAGGCGTTTTGTTAAAATGGAGTTGTTAAAGGCAAAACGTAAGAGTGAACGTACTTCGTTTACGTTAACTACGAAGATTGTAAAAGAAGAATTGCCTACTTGTACGGATCCTGAGAGATTGCAAGTGTTGTTGGGGCAACTAATTGACAAATTTGAACGCTTGGACAGTACTCAAAGCAGTGTTTTAGAACAAACCAAGGAAGCTGATTTTTCGAGAATGAATTTAATACGGCTGAAGGATAGAGATTCCTTTATAGCTTTAAAGGTGAAACTTCAGAATAAAATTGGACAATTGAATTCGATGAATGTTACTACAGATATGGCTTCAGTTTCGATTTCGGATCCTAAAGAAAATAAAAACAGGAAGTTCAAACTTCCTAAACTTGAGCTGAAAAAATTTTCTGGAGATGCAAGAGAATTTTTAGGCTTTTGGAGCCAATTCTCCAAAATTCATGAAGATGCGGATATTGTGCCGGAAGATAAATTTTTGTACTTAGTGCAAAGTGCAGTACCTGGCTCAAAGGCAGCTCAACTTTTGAACAGTTTTCCTGTTACCGCCGCCGCGAATTATCCTAAAGCTATCGAGCAGCTGAAAGAAAGATTTGGTAGAGAAGACCTTCTGGTGCAGATCTATGTAAGAGATTTGCTTGGGCTTGTTACAAAGAATGCTACAACAGGCAGAACGGCGTCGGACTTAGGAGTACTTTATGATAGTATAGAAAGTAAATTACGAGCGCTGGAAAGCTTAGGACGCACCAAGGAAAAGTTTGCTGATTTCTTGGGACCTTTAGTGGAGTCGTGCCTACCTGAGAATATTCTACGTGCCTGGGAGCGGAGTCGAACTTCTGAACAAGGGACAGGAAAAGAGTTCTGAAAGAACGCTTGAAAAACTAATGTGTTTTTTAAGGCATGAAGTAGAATCGGAAGAAATGATTAGATTAGCACAATCAGGATTTACTCATTCTGTTAAGCGTCTTAATAAAAATGTTATTTCAGGTAATTCAGATTTAGCAACAGCTGCCGCGCTGGTAAGTACAAATGAAACCAGTAAAGGTAAGCAAAATGTTTGTATATTTTGTGGTAAGCCTCATATGAGTGCTAAGTGTTTTAAAGCTGAAAATATGAG